ATTTGGAAGAAAAGAAACTCCTTGAAAAAAGTTTTTTTTTTTTAATTTGAAAGGCAACGCTTTTTATTAACAACTTCGTTTAACTCGCGGTCGAGAAGTACGTCAATGATGCGGCGACTGCTCCCACATCAACGCTTACTTGAATTAATTGATTACTTCCGTAACTTGTTCGCACGGAGCAGGCGATTCGAGAGTTTAGGGACCGCGGCGTTTTTTACCTACACAAATATATATAAATAATAAGGCGTCCATACAAAATGTGAATTGCTTTAAAGTAGCGAATGAATTGATTAATTGATGCCGATTTTGGTACAGGCATGCATCGTCACCGGATCTGAGTACGTGTGCACAATTTGGAATTGATTGGACAATAGGAAGTAGGCTAAATTTTGATTACAACATTTGACCACGACACAGGAATCAAGTAAAACCGTTGAAAAAAATGTATTTGGGAAGGAGGCACGGGGGAGTAACATTGTACATAATTCGGATTTTTTTTTTTTACAATGCGGCAATGAAGCGAATAGAAATCTGCGCAAAAGCAATTGTGTCGCGTGACAAATCTATTGTCACGGGGACTGATAGCGCCGGGTGATTCAACACGCCTGCCCAGCTCGGATTCGAAACATGATGTACATTTACGTGCTCTGTAAAACGTTCCAATGCGCTTCCCTATGTTTCAATATGAGACTTTAAATTTCAGTCCTCTGCGACAATTACGCCGTTTGTATGTCACTGTCATGTGAAGAAAAAAAAGCAGTTATTAATTCCATTTTACATGCCGTACGCGAGTTCCTCTCACCCGTCTCATTCTTTCATCTTTATTTTGGATTGCTCACTAGATTCACATTGTACATGGCTCTGGTTGGTTATTAGTCATGTTCACGAAATGTCCCTGTAAACCCTCCCTTCCCATGTCACGTGCCGGCTACCATCGTACCAGCTGCTCTATGCAGCCCCTGTAAAAACCCTCCCTTCCCATGTTACCTGCTCGCCCCTTTGGCCGGGTCGCTATGGAATTGGCCTTACCCGAAATAAACTGACTCGCCGACTGACACGCTTCGTAATCAGTTTCCTTTTGGGTTAGACCGCGTAGGTTTTTTTCTTTGCCCTAACCCTCCACCACCGGACGAAGGCCATCAAATCAAGCCTGCATGTAAAATCGACTCGCATGCGTTGGGGATCCACGTGAGTCACATGGAGTGTTTGTCACGGGGCATTTTCTGGTACGAGCACACCCGACCCTCGCCGCCGCGTACACAATTACGCGCACAAGTGCGGTGTAGGATAATCCCAAATTGACGACTGTACCGTTGAGTCACTGCACTTAATCCGCACACGTGTACTGCGTCGTTCCACTGCAAGTTTAATCGCACGCCGAGCGTCATTTCTCCACTCGCGGCGCTCGCGTCATTGACGGAGGAGATTTTGTCCAGGAGCACGAAAGGAAGTCGCGCACAAATGCCCGGCAAGCCGTTTGAGGGTGAACCGAAATTAATAGTCGGGTTCTCGGGATACCAACGTACATTTCGCTGCGATATAATTTCAGGAGGACCGCGTGTCCAGCTTTGGGCAGTGGTGGCTGCGGACGCCTGTAGTGCAGCACTGTGGGGGCAAGCGTTGGTGGATCACACGGCAGGCAATGTTAAACAAACGCCAAACAAATGTAATACGTCAACGGAACGAATGGCACGGTGCGGACCTGCCTTTGCCTTTCGTGCATTCTGGAAAGGGTGAAGCGGAAGAAGAAAAGACGACACTCGTGTGAAATATTGCACCGAGATTTTTATGACTGACTATGAGGGGGGGGGTTGGGGGCGGTGGGGGGTGCCTACCCCCCTGCCCCCCCCCCCCATGCCCCCGCTTCCTGCGCCCCCCGTTTCAGACAGTACAGGACCGATTGTCGCATGGCTACGGAATAGCAATCCCGGACCGGCGCGCCACAAATTGGAAGCGGCGGCGGCGGCGGCGGCGGACTGAACGCACGGCGAGATATCGCTAATTGGAAGCTGCCGCGCCGTGGACGCTGCGCGCCGGCGGCGGCTGACAGACGGCCGCGCCGCTCCCCGTTTTGCCCGCTCGGCTGCTCCCCGCAGGTTGTCGCCCCGCCAGTCTCCCGTGGCCGAACGGCCGACGGCCACGCGCCTTGGTTGTGCGCGCGGCGGTTGGCGCCGTGAGCGCTCTCTCTCTGGTGCCCGGCGCGCTCCGCTAGCGGCGCGCGTCATATCGAGGTCGGATCAGTCGGGAAGCGCGCCTGCCCCGATCCGCGACCGTCCTGTCTCGCCGAGGAGTGTGGGACCCCCGTTTGAAGCCGGCCGATGGGTCCCTGCGGGTCCACGGTGCTCCTACTGCCGCTGCCCGTGGTAGCGCGCAAGCCGGCGTCGGTTTCGCCAGAATCGGTATCGGAATATTTATAGTGGAGGAATCCCCCAATGAGGCTATGAGGCGCTTTGTCACACACGTCCAGTATTTCACAGATGCAACGTCGCGACGGATTTGTAACATTCTCACCTGCCCCGACTGGACACCTGTGAAAAAGAGCTTTACAGCTCATCGGATTCCTCCAGTCGAAATGAAAGATTCCAGAGACGTTCCAGTACCAGGCTGTCCGACCCGAAGACCTGGACCCAGTTGCCGGTGGCAGATGTTCGGGATCCACCCTCGAGTCCGAGCCGGCGTTGAAACGGACTGAAAGCAGTGCCGTCATTCCGGCGAGCTCGGACTCGCGAGGGTGCGCCGTGACGAAGCGTTCAGACTTTAAAGCTGCGGCCGATTTTCAGCAGGATACCCGGCCGCGATATAATCCCGCGTGACTTGCCCCGCCAACCCACGCCACCTCGTTTCATCCCCCGCCCCTCGCACGACAACAGGCAATTAAGTGTGCGTGTGTGTGTGCGCGCGCGCGCTCGCAAGCATGCGTGCGTGCTTTTTACCCGGCGTGGTGTTGGGGTTCGAAGGGGCATGGGACACACATCATTCAACCTGGCCACCACCCCGCAAGCATCAAAGCAGCGTGAAACAACACGAAGTCAATTGAAACAGAACAGAAATCGCGAGTGTTTTTTTGGTCGAGGTGTACGTGTGTGTCTGCGTGCATTATCAGCGGGGAGCGGTGGCGCAGTGATTAGCTACGAACCCGGCGACCCAAGTTCCAATTCCGGCTCACGGCCACCAAGACCAGTGACGATTATCTGAACCGGTCCTGGGTCTCCTCTAGGTCGACTCAGCCTTAAACGAGTGCCTGGTGCGATGCGTGAACATCGCCACTCGAGAGACAAAGGTGGCCGGGCGTGGTGCTGGCCACCCAGCCACTCGCGTGCCATATCGGCCTTCATAGGTGCTCGCTAACAGCACTTTTCCCCGAAGATTACTATTGAAAGCGTAGTGGGTTGGCACGTTGTGCTATTAACCTAGCGACCCGAGCTAACTGGACCTGGCCATCGCCTAGGTCGACTCAGCCTTAAGTAAGTGCCTGGAGTGGTGCGTAATCGTAGGAACTGGGGAGATGAGGGTGGCCGGGCTCGGTTCTGACCACATGACCCCCCTCATTGGTGCACCGTGTCAGCCGTCATAGGTGCTCGCTAACAGAACTTGCCCCAAATGCCTGTGCAGGCTACACGGGGGATCTTTGCCCTGCGCGCGTGCGTGCGTGCGGGCGCGTGTATTTATTTTCATCCGCTTTATTACGTTCCATCTTAGAAAGATGACCCGTCTCTTCTCACAGCTGACAATCTCCCCGGTGAGCGTGGATTGCGACGCTTTTTTAAAAGCCATGGACTATTTGTGCGACAAATGATGAGGGAGCTCGCCCTAACGGTGGGGGGCGGGGGGGGGGGCGCCCGGGCCGACGCTGATTTGAGGCGTGCGGTGGAACTTAGCCATTCCGACTCTTCTCCCGCGGGCCTGCATGCTAACGCCACACTTTGCCTAAAAATGAAATTATGACGTCGTTGATTGCGGTTGTCACGCCCCGTGCGCACTTTCTCCAGCCAGCAAAGTCATTCTTCTTTCAGCTGCCTCGCGGTGCTTTTGGGGACTGCGCAGTGATCCGAGCATTATTGATTGTGATTATCGAAGCAAACATCGTCGTTGTTGGGGGGGGGGGAGGGGGGGGGTTTCCCCAAGGTCGTCTTTTTTGTTGTTGTTATTCGGGGAATGTGGAATTTCCACCACTCGTGGGCGGCAGCTCGGAAGGGCGGCCACCGCCTCGGCGCTCATTTGAGCGGGGAATCGCTTTGAGAGCGAAAAACGGGCAATCGAAACGTCGCCTACGTCGTGTTATTTTCCTGTCGGGCCGCCGCCGCTGTTGACGAGCGAGTCGGTTTAAAAAGGGAAGCGAAATAAAAAATGTCACGCTGTGCTCGTGCGCCGTCGCCACCGCAGGAATTCCGGATTGTCGAGCCGCTGTGCCCAGAGGATTCGTTGGATGACACCGTTCATTGTGCGAAAATAATGGGGCTTTTCCCTCCGATTTTTGTTTTTTTCTCTCTCCAAAGTCTCTGACCCGGAAACATAAGACCCTGGCTGACAGCCTAGGATTTCATGTTCTCTGGCTTCCTATGTAGTTAAAAAAAAAAATATATATATTATCCGAGTGTTACAGACTTTTAAAGTAAGTGCTTTAAGTGGCTATTAAGGTTGGCGTGCCACACAAGGGGGGTGGAGTTGCCAGCGTCACGCCGTGACCTCTTTGATCTCTCAGTGCTTGCGTTGCACTCATTTCAGGCTGAGTCAACCTAGGCGTGGCTCAGGCCAGGTTAATTTACCAAACGTCACCGGCGCTTGCTGCGTTAGCGCTTGCGTGCACCTGCGGTACGGTACGTTTGATGTGTGTGTGTGCGTCGCTGTTGTGTACTACAAATGTTCAGCTCTTAATAAATCATCACTCCATTAACGAATTTCACGTTGCTAAAATCTTAAAATCCGCTCGTTAAACTTAATCTGTGTCTATTAAACGGCGAACGTTCCACGGTTACGCCTCTTTGCCCACTGTCGCGCAGGCTCCTGCTGCGGAAGACGCGACGCAGCGATGGCAGACCCGTGCCCGTCGACCCCGAGCTTACGCGGCGCCTAAATTGATTCCGCTCGGACCATGAGCCGCGACAAACCCTCGCTCGTGTCGAGGCTCCCCAAGTTCGGCTACGGAGGCGCCGCCAAAGCCCGAGGACCTGACGACGCCGCCGCCGCCGCCGCCAGCGATGACGGAGACGAGAAGAGGTCGAGGCCCTCGCTCGCCTCCGCCTTTGGATTCCGCGGCAAGAAGAACGACGTCGCGAGGAGGCCGACGGCCGGCATTGCCGCTGCCGGCGAAGCGGAGCGGAGAGAGGCCGAGCCGGCGCCGCGGGCGGCTCCCGACGCGGACGCCGCCAACGGAGGCCCCGGCTCGGACGATCGGGGCGTCGCCCGGCCGCCGCCCGTCCGCTCCCCGCCAAAGCCGCGGGTCGCCCGGCAGGCGTTCGGCTTCGCCGGGCCGGCGCGGACGACGAGGGCCCCGGTGAGGTCGGTCGCGGAAGAGCTGCGGGAGGCGTCGGAGGACCGGCACCGAGCGCGCTCCAGCAGCGACTGCGAGCGGCGCGGCGCGGGCGACCCCGGCGAGTGCCGCAGTCGAACCGAGAGCATCAAGTCGGAGGCCGGCAGCTCGAGCAGCCTGGGTGACGACGGCTTCCCGCCCGAGACGGCGCTCACGCGGGCGCAGAGCTTCTCGCACGCGCTCGCGTCGCCCGCGACGCCCGCGTCGACCGCCTCGGGGCAGCTCCAGCCCCTCGCCGGTCGGCTCCAGCGGTCCAAGTCCATGTCGAAGGCGCTGCAGGCGCAGCCGGGGCACGGCGGCGCGGCCTCGCGCCACCGCTTCGGCCGGCCGAACAACGCTTCGCAGCCGAACCTCGCGCAGGCCGGCCGGACGAGGCCCAGGGGCGCCGTCGCCGCGCGACCCCCCGGCCCGCTCAGGGGCCCCGCGAGGAGCTCGCCGGCGGATGCGGACGAGGCGTCGGCCGTCGCGAGCTTCATCCCATCGTCGGCGCTGAGGAAGCCGAGGTTGCCCGGGTTCGCCGCGCCCGGCGCCAACGGCAGGGCCGCGGCCGGGCGAGGAGGCCCACTTGCCGCGAAGCCGGCGAGCCCGAAACCCAGCGGGGCTCCGGGAGCCGGGATCGGCGCTCGCGCGGAGCCGCACGCGGGAGGTCGAGGCGGGGGTCCGAACGACGTCACTGCTGCCGATGGGGGAGGTGCGGAAGTGCAGGTGGACTCGGAGAGCCCCCCCGAGGAGGCCGACAGGAGCGAAACTGCGTCGCTGCGGGACAGCGAGTCGAGTGAGTGCCCGCGTATAACGTGCATATATGTAAATATGCATGTACAGTAAAACCTTGGATTGCGGGGTAACTTTGTCTGCGAGTGTTTTGCAAGACGAGCTGAATTTTTTAATAAATATTAATTTGTTAAACGAGCGAGGGTCTTGCAATACGAGCAGTACGTATACGCTTTGTCTGCCGAGCGTCACGTGATCACAACTGATATACGAGTGCTTTGATATACGAGTGCTTTGGATTACAAACACGTTTCCGGAACGAATTATGCTCGCAATCCAAGGTTTTACTGTACTGCTTTAAGTTGTGTGTATTGTATGTTGAACTTCTTCTGCACCGTACGTAGCCAACCCTGCTAATCGGAGGCGCGGGGGAAGGACAAACAACGAAACACAAAAAGGAGTTCTTAAAAACATTAAAAGTGCATTACTCCCAGTGACTTTCTAATATTGAAAGGATGAGTCTTCCAGACGGCCGCGGCAAGCGCATCCGAAAGCGCATCTTTACGATAGTTAATGTGACCCCATATTACGGACATTGATGGATGGACAGACGGACAGAGCTAATGCATTGACGGTTTTCAGGCAGAATTCTAAATCGTCACAAATGACCCGTGTGAAATGAGCGCCGCACCGCGCAGGAATCCCGCGCTACGTTGCGCCCGACCCCGCACCTCCGACTAGCGCAGTTGGCTGCGTATGGTGTGCGAAAGAAGTTTGACGTGCACACAAACGTACGCACGTACACACGCGGCCCGACCTCGCACCGCGCGCGTGCCTTTAGTTAACCGCGAGGCTCACCGCGCCTTCTCCTGCGTGCCCGGCTGCAGGCGAGACCATCGCTCCGCTCCACGGGGCCCACGGCGCCGTTTGCCACGACACGGTTCTCGACCCCGCCGAGGTCACCGGCTCGGACGGCGGCGACGGCGGCGGTGACGACGGCGATGGCGGTGACGCGGACGACCCGGTGGATCGGAGCGACGCCGATCCGGCAGGAGACGGGGAAGAGCCGATAGGGAGGGGGGAGACGGACGGGAGTGGCGGTTCCGTGGACAGGAACAGTCCGGTAAGGCTGCTGTCCGGCTGGATTCAATGATTGCCCTCCCCCTCCCAGCAGGGGGCGATCTTTGCTGCGCGTAATACCGATTGAAGCAATTGGCAGGTGGTTTGTCGGCATTGAGATGTGTTGGCCACGCTTTTTCTTTTCGCCGTGGGACCGATAAAACAGAGAAGGCGGAGGAAACCCATGCAGGACAGGCTGAGGGCGTACAAACTGCGCACAGAACGAATCGAAGCCAGGCCCTCCTGACTGCGAGGCTCGGGCGTTAACACCGCGCTGCTTGCAGCCAAACGTCGAGAGTGACGCCAAACAACGCGTGGTACAGCAAGCAAACGCGTCGGGAGAGTGTGGCCGTTTGGTCGCTGGCCCGCCCGCCTGCCTGCCTGCCTGTGTGGTTTTTATGCGAGCGAGTTGTCATTCTTTGCGTTGTTTGCTTCTTCTACTTTACTCGAGAGGCACGAGTGTGTTACGGATGCGCTGCCAACCCGCCGGACAGAAAGTGCGCGCGGACATTCGTGCTGGAGAATGTGCCACGGAAGTGGATGTCACAGAGCTACCTCTGGGTCCACACGGTGGAGGGCAGCACTTTCTCACCCGCTCGGCACGTGACAGTAATTGCTCGTGACAGGTCGATTCCGCTCGGGTAAGATGGAATCGACCTCGGGCGAGGAGGTTCAGGACCGGTGTTAAATTATTCGCTTGTCACTTATTGATCGTGAGCGGGAATCGTAGCGCATATCCCTAACCACCACGATCTCCCATTCCCCACTGCTACGGTCTGTACTCTGCAGTGAATAACTTACGGTTCAAATGTAAATTGTTAATGAATGCAATTTGAAAGTTAGCATAATACCGGTGTACCTAATATTTTATGGCAATGCATTCCATGGCCACCGTTGTTCTGTTTAATTAATCTTGCTGCATTTAAGGAAACATTACACGAGAGTAAATTGAATAATAAGCAAGCGTAGCAGATTTATATATTTTTTCGGAGGTGGACTAGGCAGTGCTTACCAAACGCATTTGTTTCAATCATTTATTGAGCACATGTTGCCCGGGGCTGAGAAGGCGCACGGGAAACGGTGTAACGGAGTAACGACCTTGGGGAATTTCTTTGTCTTGACTACATTTTTGTTTGCAAAGTGCCCCGGCGAAGACAAACCGCTGAGCTCGCCATTTGTCGCCGCATGCAGAGTAATTAAACGCTGGGTGTCACGACGAATTAACTTACACGTGGCCCCACTCAAGGCCCGCTAAGTGCCACTGCTCGATACTATCAATCGCTTGCCCTACAGCCTTCCCCAATCCCAGTTCCACCGTCTCCTGCATTACATTTTCATTTCGTTTCTCTTTCCTATTGTCTACCCCCTATGCCTTCCCCTTCATAAAAACTAAGAAGACGATCCCTCCCTCCCCTCCCCCGCCCGCCCCCCTACCCGCCCCCCGCCTGCCCCCCACCCACCCCCCACCCGCCCCCCTCCCTTTACAGCCTTAACAGACTCTAGGGGCAAGTGCTGTTAGCGAGCACCTATGAAGGCCAGAACGGTACACGAGGGGGTGGGTGGGCCAGCACCACGCCCGACCGCCTTTGTCCCCCCAGTGGCAATGTTTACACACAGCACCAAGGTACTCATTTGAGGCTAAGTCGACCTAAAGGAGGCCCGGGACCGGTTCAGATAATCGTCACTGGTGTTGGCCATGAGCGGGAATCGAACCCGGGTCGCCGGGTTTATAGCGCAGCGCGCTGATCGCTACACTACCGCTCCCCAACTACACTACCACTCCTCCCCCCCATACACCACCACCACCACCGCCCCCCATCAACCTCAACCACCACCACCACCATCACATTCCACCTTCCCTTGTAATTCATTGCCCTCCATCCATGCTATTCGCAATGACCTCAATTCCTCACCCTTCAGGGAGCAAGGAGGGGTTTGATGTTCAGCAGATGAGGTGCAGGGCCTGGCCTCCCGGGTGTTTTGGGGGTGCGTCTGTGAAGTCTTCCCGTGGGTGGTGCGCGGGGGGGGGATGGGGGCTGCTCTTGGGGTGGACAAGTTCAGGTAATAATAAGGGCTCCACCTACATTGGACCGCGTGCTTTTTGGGAGTCATCGGGGTCACGGGAGCCCCCACGCCTTTAGCACGAGGGCTCGTCACATTGTCCTCGCCTCCTGCTGATGTAGATGCCGGAGCAGCAGCTACAATTTCGCATTCAGATGGTCAAGTCGGATAACCGTGTCAGGAGTCAGCGGAGTTGTGTATCATCATCGCCGTGATGTCTCTTCGTATTTGCGGATTGGGGCATTGCGTCCGTTACACGTTGTACGGTCTCTGTTCTGCATTACCACAGTCGCACCATTCCTACTGGAGAGTTTTAAATTTTCCATTTGTGCATCAGGTATCCGCATCTGCCACCGTTTCTGCAGTGGATGCGGTTTAGGGTGGACCGTGAGCGTCACTGCAGGAGGGCGAGTCGAGTGAGTGCTTGTGTATACGTGGGGAGTGGTGGTGGTAGCAGTTAGCGTTGCACTACGAATCTGGCTGCTCGGGTTCGATTCCCGCTCACGGCCAACAGCAGTGACGATTATCTAAATGAGTCCCGGGCCTCCCCTATGTCGACTCAGCCTCAAATGAGTACCTCGTGCGGTGTGTAAACATCGCCACTGGGGAGACAAAGGCGGCCAGGCGTGGTGCAAGCCACCCACCCCCTCGTATATGTCGTTCCGGCCTTCATAGGTGCTTACTAACAGCACTTGCCGCAATAGTCTGTTAAGGCTGTACGTGGGATTTTGCCTTTGTCAAAATATACCATGATGATGCCAGGTTTCTAAAATTGCAAGCAGAGCCATCGTTCTCACAGAGAGCCTGTGGCATAAGAATTCAGGATTAACCGGCGACCTCTCCAAACAAGATTAATGATGTGCGAGAAGAGCCAGCAGTGATCTTAAAGCCCGGCGCTCTTGGAAATTACACTCAGTGTGGGTGATGCAGATAGCCCAGTGGTTCGGAGGTAACACTCCGTTTATGAAACTCCCAAAGCAACTGACGTGCGAGGTGGCCGGGAGATGGCAGTATGGCAAGTGGGTTTCTGGAAACCATCCGTGCGGAGTCTGCGAGTCTTGTGCCGCTCGCGCGCCTGGTGGGTTTCTGGAAACCATCCGTGCGGAGTCTGCGAGTCTTGTACTGCTCGCACGCATGGTGGGTTTCTGGGACCCATCTGTGCGGAGTCTGTGAGTCTTGTACCCCTAACGAGCGTCTGGGAGTTTTTTCACCCCAAATGCCCCCCCCCCTCTCCAGTTTATTCCCAAATGCAAAAACACACGTGCAAAGGATTTTTTTGCTAAAACTTCATAATCATGCAGAATTCTTGGCAAATAGGAAACTTGAGATTTTTAGCGAGGCCAATCTGGATTAACGAACCACTTGCAGTGGTGAACAGGGGGATGGTGAACCGGGGGATAGTCCACGCTGCGCTGTGAATCTGGCAGCGGGGGGTTCTATTCCCAGCCACGGTTAACATCAGCTCCTTGGACTGGTCCTGGGCTCCCCCCTGAACCCGTCCGCACTGACCTGCATCAAGCAACGTGGGGCTGGGGGAGCGCCTTCATCCAGCAGCGGATAGGCAATGCAGAGTAACTTTAGTTTTAATTTCACGACGTTTGCCGAGAAGTGTTTTTGATTCATGATAAGTTTCTTTTGGGTCAGATTGCTTCGGTATGTATTGTGAGATCCCCAGTCACTCACCTGCTCACACACCCCCGCGGTGGCGCGGCTTGGATGTGCCAGTGGAAATATTGGTGGCGCACTCACCACTGACGGCCGCCTGGTTTTTGCACCTCGGTGCGAAAGAATTTCAACATTCATACATACGTCCGGAGAAACTTCGCGGTGCTGTCCATAAAAAAAAAATATGCCCGGGTGAGCCTCCCAAGAAGAAAAGAACAAAAAATTGCGGTGAATTTATTATTCATAACCGGCCCTGCGTGTTTCACTCTGAGCACTTAGCCGGCGGTGGATGTATTGACCGTGGCCTGCCGGAGCTGCGTACCGCCGGCAGGGAATCTGGACGCTCGAGTGGGCTCCCGCGGCTTAAACCATCAACGCCGGGGAGCGAACGCACGGCCGGCGACTGCCAATGCAGCGAAGTTACGGGCGCGGCGCACGAAACCCAAGTGACGCCCGCTTTCTTCTTGCCGTGGTGGCTAGGAGATGTTAACTACCTCGCCAGGTATACGGGAGGTCGTGGGTTTGATCCCGACCCTGACGCCTGCTGTATATTTGGAGTTTGCGTGTGTCTCTCTCTCTCTCTCTCATCATCATCACAGTGGCTAGGAGATGTTAACTACCTCGTCTGGTATACGGGAGGTCGTGGGTTTGATCCCGACCCTGACGCCTGCTGTCTATTTGGAGTTTGCGTGTCTCTCTCTCTCTCATCATCCTCACAGTGGCTAGGAGATGTTAACTACCTCGCCTGGTATGCGGGAGGTCGTGGGTTTGATCCCGACCCTGACGCCTGCTGTATATTTGGAGTTTGCGTGTCTCTCTCTCTCTCATCATCATCACAGTGGCTAGGAGATGTTAACTACCTCGTCTGGTATACGGGAGGTCGTGGGTTTGATCCCGACCCTGACTCCTGCTGTCTATTTGGAGTGTGCGTGTCTCTCTCTCTCATCATCATCACAGTGGCTAGGAGATGTTAACTACCTCGCCTGGTGTACGGGAGCTCGTGGGTTTGATCCCAACCCTGACGCCTGCTGCTGTATATTTGGAGTTTGCGGTGTCTCTCGCCCCGTGGTCGCGTGGAGTTTCCTTTTGAGTCCTCCTTTATTCCCACCACATTTATAAACGTGCGTTTAGAGGGTTTGGCTGCTATAACATTTCCACGTGATAAGCCACTTCGTTGAGCTATTGTTTGTGGCCAGGTCGCTTCTGAAAAAGAGCTGTATAGCTCAGTGGGCCTTACCCGGCATAATAAAAAAAAAGTTGCGTTTTAGTTTAGTGTTG